GGTGTGTGGCACACTCCGTCAGCTCGGTAAAATTTGCCAAATTCAGTAAAACTGGTCTGGTTTCAGCGTGAAGAAAACGCTACAACATCAGTGTCCATCATAGCTGCATGAAATACCCTGCAAGCGTCACCGGTCATTAAATATGACCATATCGGAAATGGTTTAGAGCTAATACCAAATAGTTTGACATCACTGGGATTAGCGTCAAAATGAAAAATATTTTTAGAGCCTGAACTTAATTACTGTGGCCCGCATGACCTTGCGCTTGGCCAGTTAATGTTGAAACCAGGACAATAAATTTAATTTGGGACTGGGTTAATATAATCTAGTCAAATCACAGGGTTGGATTCTGTTTGGTGTAGCACGGCTGTCAGGTGACTTGTTGCTACGTAGCTGAATGAAGCGAGCTAAACAGAACGAAAATCGCAAACCGTACGATACGTGATGATCAGCTTTGTTTATATATGGGAAAGGTAAGAATTAATAGGATGAGCAGAGGCTATGCGAAATAGTTAGCACCCTCAATGGTAGACGTAAGCACGTGAGGAAATTTCAAGCACGAAACACGAACATACTGTGCTGAACAAGATGCGTGGTAATTCACTTGAAGTAGATGCCAAATGGCTTCAATAAAAAATATACCTAAAAATAACTTAAGTAGGCGAAAATATTGACAATTGCCGTAGCCAGTCTAGGGACGTTTTAGGTCAAGGACAAGGTAACCGAACCACTCGTTTTTGTATACTTTGTTATTCAAAATGCTGCGACATGATTTATTCCTCCAAAATAAGGTTTTAGAAAGGTTGTGTTCCACGGTATCGTATCAGCTGGCCGAATGTCGTCGCGTTCAATTCCTAAAGATGATTTTCAAGCTGTAAGTTAAGGCGCGAACGATTACTAGGGTGATTAGCGTCATAGACGTTTGTGCTACATTGACACCGATCACATTCCACGTATTCTACTCACAATGCATACGCCTGATTCGGTCGAACTGTGAAAGTAAACAACTTACATTATAAGTTTCAGACCTTTATTAGTATCTCTCTTTATTAGTATTGATATTCTAATGCGTACTCTATGGGATTCCAATTAGGAGTAAGGTTATCTCGAAACTGAGCGACGCTTCTGAAGTGCAATTTTCCTACTTTGAATTAGTTAAATTCTGAGCTGAACAATTCGAATCACTTTTTAGGCTTGCAAAGGTTCAAACGGCCAAGCCTCGTGTCAACAACGTACAGTTTTTGTAAACACTTTTGCAGGTCCCACGATACTCAATGATCACAACGGCCGCTAGCAAATCCCCAAGCGAACGTTGTGAAACCTCATTACTACCAGTCGTCTCAAAACTGCGGAGAAATACGATGCTATGGAGTCGGGAAGCCGTGTACGGTGTCGACTGAGTATATATAGCCGTAATCATGCTGATACACAGAAGCCAACGAGACAGTTTAGCTTCGAGTGAGAAGAAAAAAGGCACGAATGCACTCACGCATGCTTTGTTTATACTGAGCAGGCCAAGGATTCATTATACGGTTATAAAGCATATCTGGTGGCGGCAGGAAGTCGCACAGCTAGTAATATATACTAGGCTGTTCGAGGTTCTGCGGATCCAAGGACGTCGGCCTGGTAGTAAACGAATAATAATGTTAAATCTCGATAGTAATATTATACCTGCTTTAATGATAAGTGGCACCAGATATATGGTTGGCTGTCGGCTTCTTTCTACTCGCAGGTCAATGGGCTAAAGGTAGTTAAAGTATTGATATGCTGTACATCTTGCAAGTTGATGAATTAGAAGTTTATTACGCTTCGTTGTAAACGACAAACTTGTTGATCGCCTATAATATTTGTCCTCGTCCTCGTGTGGCGGTATCGCGTTTCTGCTGCTCAGAGGAAGATGGGCAGGCCTCGTTTATTACGGGTTTCTGAGATTAAAGATAAAACTCGAAGCACTGGTAGTTTTTTTTAGCACGATTAGCACTCCGCAATGCAAGGAAAGCCCTTTTGTTAGTATACCTAGAGCCACTAAGCGTTTCTATAGCCTGGCATACCTCCGAAGAAGAAGAAGAAGAAATCAAAAGGTCCGAATCCTAGCTCAAAATGAGTAACGCCTTCTTAAGTTGCAAAGGGAGGTCGTTTCGGATTCGCCAAACTCGAATCATCGACTATGGATTTTCTAACAAAGCTATAAGAGATGTGCCCCAATAGCAACTTGTTAAAGGAGCTAGCAATAGGAAACAATGGATGTGCAAATAGCCAATTACCGAATAATATACCCTTTTGTTGGCAAGGGTATCTGAGCCAATCGGCAGTTATCGTTCTGGCCCGGAACATTCTGCGATGCTAGCTCTATGTGACAACGATTAGTCGTTTATGGACGGTAAAAATAAATCGACCCTGACAACTAAAGCTCACGCTAAACGTTGAGGGTTTATTCAATGACACTGCCACGATTATGCAGGGACTGCCCTCATACTGTGACACTACCAATAATTTAAGACGGCTTGTCTCAAGTACTTCACATATAAAAAATGCATTCACGACAGTAGCTTTCGCTTACGAACTCAAGGACGATATTCTGTTACTTCTGTCAGATGGCAATATTTAGAAAAAAAGAAAAAATCAAATATCTAGAGGAACTGATAAATCAGGTTATCCCTTTCCGTCATCATCGTTGAGTCTTATGATACGACGAATAGATAGAGCTATTGAAACCAAATGACCGTACCACTATGCATATGTCAGATATCGACCAGACGGTCATCTGTGCTATATGCAGTAACTAGCACTTCGTATGCACAGAACAAGTGCGGATCGATGATATAGAACACAGTAAGAGCCATGTAATTACAGGCAGGCCGACATGTACGCCGGCTGTAGGTACAAGACTTTTGTCATAACGTTTCTACGTGTATCAGTCAAAAAATTCAAACAGCGACATTTGGCGGCTACTAATAAAGAAAATCGAGAAAAAAAAAGTAGGTTTACTGAGCGACTATACTATACTATACTATACGCGGCGACATAGTGACGATTTCCATAGAAGCATTGTTACTTGTGTTTTTACAATACAAATACCACACGGAGTTTAATAACCCCACATAACATCGTGTAGTACCTCGCGAAGCTTAAACAAGCCACTTGTGTTTACGTAACTTTAAAGAATTCTTTTTTCTAAAAAATCCGTTATTTTTGTTTAGCTTATAAGTTAGCTTTTCGTGTTGAACTATTCCATTGCGTGGCATTGATAGGCCAATATCGTCACGTTTTCAGTGATCTCTTTAAACATTTCCGGCTTACGGTGGGGATCATCTTCGACTGTCAAATAATCCCATTATCGACGCTATCTCCTTAGAGTCTCTGTCCCGCGTAGGTATTTTCCCACCATTATGGCTTTCTGTTCGCCTTCTTACGGAAGCTTCTGCTGTCTTCAATTCCATCCCAAATCGTGCATAGTTTTTATGCTTCACACTATTCATTTATTTACGAGATATCCCGGGTTATTATTTAGTGCACCATTTCTCCCGTGGCGTTGTCAATCGCGATAGAACCCGCGCATGGTTATGGCATAAAATTGGCGCTACTCGTCAACCTGAAGGATTAAAGGCGAGTTTATATCAAAAAAAAGCTACATCCCTAGGAACTAGGACAATTTGTGACCTCTACTCCTCCGTATGTACAAATCAATCAATCAATCTTAAATAAATCCATTTAATTGCTACTGTGTAACATTTTATTCTGCTTCTAATATAATACGTGATAATTTTTTGATACGTGAACACTCAACATTACCTGTAAGCAAGTCCTATCTGCACTCAGATTTATGATTTTGATTCGCGCTATTTTACACACATAGTATGAATAACAACGTTCTATTGCTTCGATATCGATATACCAAATAGAACCCTGTGTTTCGGCAGCGATAAATATTGTGTATCGATCCTTCCAACGACCATATGACAACATTGTTCCCGTTAGTCTCAAGTTAATCAAGAGAGGTTTTGAAAGAGTCAGGATCGTACAATGGTAGGGAACGAAAAAGCTCGTGTACAAAGTTCTGCTATGCCAAATTCCGCATGGAAGCAACGGGGAGGAAAAGTGGTCGCGTGAGTACGTTCAAATGTAACAGTACTATTCAGCTGAGTTTTAGTAATATAACTTTTCTGCTCTACGGTAAAAGCTAACGATTTGTAGACAGTATTTCTTATTCATAGGTTAGTATATCAGAATTCCTGTGAGGGTTTAGTGCTAGCGCATGGATCTTTAGCGGTATATGTGTGAGGTGACCTAGGCCCGAAATCAAGCGTAAGCACATCCGTGGGGGGCCAGTCGTCTGAAACCATGCTTAGCGGGACTACCGAATACAAGACTAAAGTTTGTTTTTTTTTCTTTACTTATTGTTAGTGACGGGTTTACATACTGTGAAGATTTTAACTTAACAATAGTGTAAATATAATACTAGAGCACTTTTATAAAATTGCGGATAACTTACTTTCTGTACATGGGACGCCCATTACTTTTTAGAATTCGATAACTAAATTCTCGCATACTTCTGATCACTGTTATGCGCTAACACAACAAAATATTATTCAATTGTATATACATTTTGAGGTAGATGATGGTTACGTTGATACATACCCATCAAATAGCAACATAATATTTAAGTACTTCGCTTACAGAGAAATCTTAGCAATAGTATGACGATAAACCGATAAAAAACCTTGACCCAGAAAAAAACCAGAGGTTCATAATGGTGTCACAAGAGAGTCACTCGCCGAGCTCTCTCTGATGAAAGCGATAAAGGATTACCCTCAACAAAATGATATTGTTATTGAGCAGTTATCAATAGGAGACAATGGATGCCTAATTTGTCAATAATCGAGAAATACACCCTTTCGGCGGTAAGAGTATCCAAGCCGAATTGTCTACGGAACAATCTGTCTTTGCGCTTATTCTGAGTCACAATGATCAGACCTTTATTACTAGTAAGTACAGACAAATCGACCCAGACGGTTCAAGTGAACACTTTACTATAGAGCAAACGCTAACACAGCCGTTTAGGACTCGTCGTGAACGCCATTCATACGTATGAGATTTTCATGTTAATTGTTTAGATTCGTAGTACTCAAGGTATCTGAAATGCAGCTTAGAGATGTCATGATCTTATTAGCGGTGGTCCTGCTTGCATCTTTTTTAAGTGACAAGTTAGTATTCACTGAGAAACTGGATGCAGCGTTTCTAAGTGGTAAGTAATGAACGTCTAATGCTTGAAAGTTAATCTAACTTTCAACATTAACAGTCAACACGTTACGGATCTGTCACAATACTATATGAAGATTTAAGATGAAAACTATATCAGTTTTTCTTAACAGCAGAGAAAATTGTCAGAGCTATGAATTGAATTAATCTAATATGTATCTATATCAGAAATCGGTATATAGAAAGCAGTAAACATAACCTGTTAACGGTGTTAGCAGATTTTATTTAGACCTACATGACATGATTATATGTCTACGCAACATTAGTGCGCAGCTAACACGTAATGAAGTTAACTGAAAAGATTTTTTGTTTCAACAATTTTTACTTCATGCCGTAACAAGCGGACCTTTCATCTGGTTAGGTTAGGTCAGGTTAGGCGATGATGAATTCTCAATGAAAGATGTCGAATACAAGTTAATTGATATTGATTCGCTACACGAATATGTAGGCCCACAAATGGATAACTTAATTTCACACTTCAGCAAATCATTCCGGAGGGTAGTGCTGATGTACATATGCTTGTTCTAGTACACGGAAATGTATCAACACACAATGAAGAGCGAATTCTATACAAGTACTCTCCATTTTTCCTGTAGGAGCATTTCTGCGTCACTTAGAGAAAACGTCCTTGCCCGACTCAACAGATGATTTTGACACCGACGATAGTCGAAATCCTCCCGCTGCTGATAATGCGGCTACAGAGTCCCTTGTCACATTGTTGAATAGGCTTGCGGCTCACAACAAGGTCCAGCTGCCCCAGCCGAAAGCGCAACAGAAACAGTCTTCAGAATTCCGAGCTGATATCAGAAAGGACAGGCACAAGCAGACAAATGTGGCGCGGACGTATCAGGAACAAGTAGACCAGACAAGGAGCTTCGAGGGCAGCGGGTACGTGCCGTCTTTAAACATACGCATGTTGAAAAGGAGAAACAAAATGTGGTGTGATTCTCTACTGTGCTAGTTGCACGAGGCCTCTTTTAATACGAGAGCAAAACGCATTAAGATACTTGAAACTATGCACAAACTAATACCGACCAATGTGAAAGCATAAGCAGCAGATGGTTAAATTCTGGTTCATTATTTGGTCGGAGGCAACAGCTGCGCCTGCGCCTAAAGACTGAGGATGCCCCCGACGATAAGCTGCACTCTATCATAACTACATTGAACGTTTTCTCACATTATCTTATTACAGAAGCGATAGCAACGCTGAGCTAGATCAGCCCGGTGATTTGGGAACAGAGGGCAGTGGATTCGACTACAATCCTCACTAGAATCATTCACTTTAAGATCACACAAGAAAATTTTTAATTATTACTCTATTATATATCATCTTCATTCATTATACACATCTGTTGAACTCGTCATAAAAAATAAACTCACACGTCATAAGTCAGAGCTAATATGAGTCATTAATACTTCATCGTTTATAGACAAGCTTACAATACAAAAATTGTCCGAGAAACGGATTGTTGGCTGCGGGCAGCGTTTCGATCCCTGATTGATGCATTTATATATAGTTTCATAATTAGATAAAATCATATTCATATCTAAATATGCGACTAGCATGAAGCAATAATTTATTCGGAATTGCGCTGAGTAGGTGTCTCCTCTTTTGAAGTATAGGTTTAGTACGGTACTTGCATCTGTATTTATAAACTATAAAATACGGAATAATATTGATTTTTTGGATGAATTCAATGTTTTCCAAGAATATAGGTATATTTCCGCTCGATCGGGAGTGTACCAGTATGTAAATAGTATTCATTTCATTGTGTCGTTCAGCACGACGATACCAAAAACGCCGGTACATTTGATAGGCTTGTGGTGGACCCCATCCGGCGACGGCCTTGTTGCTTAGGCTTCCCAAACCTTGCATTAGTCCCCGCAATGTGACGTCTTGTTGAAAGGTATCGCGTTGTATTGGAATTTTTCAACGAAAAGTGACATCACGGGTGATGTCATATCCCGTGTGCTTTTTGTGCTACCCTGCCCATCGGCAGTTCATTAACGGTAGCCTCGCTTGACGGTGGTTCGATTTCTTCTTTTGGATGTTCGTCTCTGACAGATCAAACTCTTTCATGCCGTTGTCACGATAGTTCTAAATAAGCATTTTCAGCTTAATGCCGCTCGCGATTCTTTCAGCTAAAAAAGGTTTTATCCTCCTAGCAATGTTGTAGCCAACTTTCCCGGCGATCCCATCATTACAGCTGCACTGTCTGTTCTCGACGACCGGACGCTGTAATATGGAGAGCGAGAGTTTTGCATTTCTTCGCAACATAATTTGCTTCGCAGTTTTAGCTAGACAAAAGAACGGAGAACTTCCGTACTTCTGATCCGAGCCCCAAAGTTCCCGAAAAAATCCGCTACTTACTGACCTATCTGTTCTTTTCAAATTGTAATAACAAGTCCATGAAAGCGTTGGAACTGGTTTATCGATGCTGCTAGTATAATTTTTTACTTTGTCCACTTTCGACACCCCGCTAATATTCAGTGACGTCTGTTTAGGAAGAGCCTTTCTCAGGGTGGGGCCGAAAAACTGTTGAATGCTGTCGTCTAGCACTAGCGCTGTCTTTCGTGGTGGAGGAAAGGTCGACTCGTTTAGAGCCTTCGATGTGTCGTGGTTCGCAGTTAGCCGTCGTCACTGGTGCCAGATGGCGTAGTGTAGTACCTTTATGAGGAGCTACATGCGCTTGTCTCCTGTTGTAAGTTTGACACCTGCCCTTCCAGGTTCATCGCTCGATAAAATAGGACCCGTTACCTCAGTTTCCAGGTCATACATGTTTAAACATTTCATAAACTTTCTGTTGCCCACTTTGATGTTGGCACTGAACGTACGTCTCTGACCAAATAAGAGAGCCGAGGAAATTTGTCGAAATTATCTTGTATGCAGACGAATTAGCGATATACAAGTTAAACTACAACAAGCGTTAGCCCGTTTCTATGCGGCAACCACAGGTTCGGAACTGACCGTAAACCTAACCAAGGATCAGATCGCTTTTCGACCTCTAGGTAGCACCGATTGTAACACATGGCATACGTGTCATTTGGGAATATATTATAGTGGAGAGCCTCGAATCGCACCAAAACCTCCTTTCTCCAAAAGGCACTGGAACTACACCCAGCGACTCAAAAGTGACTCACGTTATCCTACGTCATCGCTTTAAGCTTCCGGCAACTTTTAAAACCAGTCTTCAAAGTTGGGAGCGAAAATGCAGAGCAGATTTAATGAGGGTCAATGAGCGGAAAAGGACGAACTGGCTAAACACCGTAGACTCTGCGGAATGTCGGATTCCTATAAGCTTGACTTAATATATAGGTGTCTGCAATGAAAATTATGTTGCTCGTTGCCTCCTAATATCATCTTTAGCGCATCTGGTAAGTTTCTTTATTAAAAATTAGCTTTATAAAGTCAGCAGGACACGTATAACCCATGTGATGCAAAGTGGTTTAAATAGTTCTATATACAGCCTCTGATATTGGAGTACTGTGTTGTCGATCTGTACATATGAAAGTTACCAAAAGTGGGTAAGTTAAGTTTGATTGATTGATAACACATAACTATACAGCCCGCTAACTAAAAAAGCTATGATTTCTCGGTCTAATATTCCAGTACATTTTCTTCATCTTTTTTTTTTTTTACTTTATTCATCTTTATTTTAATTAATTTTACTCACAAATCTTTCGAGACAATTGATGATCTGCCGGTTTAGCAACATTATTTCATATATAGTAGGTGCTCAACCGCAGTGTCTGCGGTTATCAGATGGAAAATAATAACCTTACAATTCATTAAAAAAACACGGCAAAACGCGAAATCTTCTGTTATATTGATGCGTATATCTACCATGCCGCGTATATCCTATAAATTTAATGAATAACTATGAATACTATTCTAGAAGCAAATTTAGCTGTCGTTAATAGATCTGCTAGGATCGCACTCGGTATAAACTGCTAACTTTAGTAAGAGTATGAGTATTCTACCCTTAATCAATCACTCGTAGGGTCCTTTTATATATATATATATATATATAGTTTCCCTTGATGATGCACTTCTGGACTTGTCGTAGCACCCAGAACAAAACAAGCGCGCTGATACTTGACGCTAATATTAAAATAATAAAAAGGAGATGTTCTCTTAATGAAGGCTGAGAAGAGTCTGTGTACACTAACAACATTATACACAAATGCTATTTTGTAGTGAAACGATGGGTAGTCCCTAATGACCTCGTCGTTTTGGTATATCTGCAATATATCGACCTGCTTCGTACCCCTTCACTACACGTTCACTGAAAAGGCATTATCAAAATACGCTCGACTATCAATCATTAAAATTTAAATATAAACGAAATGACTCAGAGATGACAAACAAATGGGTTAAGAGCTATTCGAACGCAAAAGAGCAAGCAGGTAAACATAACGAAAAACAAGCGCCGTATAGTCTATAATGATAGCCTCACGACCCAAGCTCTTTAGTTGTGTTGTGTGAATCTTTGTGTTCTACAAAATTAGCGAGTGATGTTTTCCCTTGACACATTTATTAGTAAATACCTATCATCCCGGAGTAATTCAATTACGAAGTGCCACTTCGGCATAAACATCGGCCATGATCTATGCAACGATGCTGCGGAGCCCATGTTCCTTTTGCTAAGCTCTATCACTTCATGTAGAACTAACCTCGCATTTTGAGACACCCCTATAAAGCTATTAGGTGAACATTGTTTGTTGAACATGTTGTGTGCTTTTTACCCTGTCTCAATTGGCTTACGTTATTCGCTAATTCCTTGTTTTAACATGAAGTAGCCCCTCTTTTCAATCGCTCATTCAAGACTCACCAAGGCGACATTGTGTCTTTCTAAGTGTAGAAACAGTCTTCGTTTTGTATTTCTAATTCGTTTCTCACATAGCAACGCATGCAGTAATAACAGTTTAACGTGCAGCCACCAAATGCGATCCTAAATTGAAATATAGCTAAAATACTATTAAACATTACATGCACGCGTTTAACATTGTATTCGTGTGTGTTGATTCGCGAGTCCTATACCATACAAAAATAGTGAATTGTTATCTTAGGGTTCTTTCAAGTTTATTTCTTGTTGGCGCTTGCGAAGCGGCCTCTGCGGTGCCCTCTGATAACCCCATAAAACCGGATCGTTTGCGGTAGGTCTTAGAAAGTAGGCGGAGGGTATTAAGGGCTAAGTTCGTTGTGCGTGCTCTGCATACGCTATAAGGGCTAGAAATGTTCGCTCATTCTAAATTCTTATGATTCTGTTAACAACCCTGGACCGGTTACCGACCATTTATCATATGGACACTGAATATAAGCGATTCCTCTGCTGTACTAAGCCCATTCTAGCGGTCTTAATCTACAAATGTTTTTCGCATATATTGATACCCTGCCATTTGCTATTCTTAGAGCAAGTAAATCGTACTACGTCTTTTAACAGCCCCTTTTGTTTCATAGATGAATACCACCTTGTAATCAAAAACTAGGATATATCGCATGGATGTACCTTCTATACTCCAAGAATAAGCTTAACGATAGTTAATGGAAGACTAATTACATGTGTGAAAGCACATGGCGGGTGATACGCGTTTTCGCCTCGTTTGCTGCATTCGAAAAATGAAGTAGATGAGGCAATGAAAAACATAGTTTGACACACCTGTTCGATGAACGGTTTACTGTATACCTCCGATAGTTTCAGCTTCCCATCACAACTCCTGCGTACAACGTGACAACTGCGTACTACTCAAGAGCTAGTAACTGTCGATTTCATTAATAAACTTACATTGACTGTACATTGTACATGGAGATCTTACTAGGAATCATCTGCAGTTCATAATGGAAAGAGTACTTCCTAGCAGTAGACTTCGAGGGGGGTAATGACAGGGCTGTGGTTACTTAATTGCGTACACATAAGCTGTTTTATGTGCGTGCTTTATTTTTCAGCTTCCTATCGCGTGGGGCGAAGTTTTTCCTATATTTAGAAGCAGGACATATATATCTCTGTTTTATCGATCATTTAAATAGCAGCGTTGCGTGCGCCACTGTTTAATTCGGCAATTTACTACAAAGTAGCACTTAACTCATCGACGGTTGTTTAAATGGCAAGTGACTAGCTTAAATGCCCAAAAATGCAAATAATAATGCTCAATATTGGTAATAGCTTAATTATTCTGTTTCTAAATGTTTGCCTTGTAATCCTGAGTGTATGTCGAACCTATTCCTGAAGCACGGTATTTTCATTTCGCACTGTTAAATAATGTATAGCAATTTCCTTATCGAAAAATCTCGAAAGGTTGAGATCTACCGAACTGTTTTGTTGAGTCAAGCATCGTTACACACAAACAACGCAAGATTCCTGTGTAAGCAAAACATTACTATGAAAA